AAAAAAAAAAAAAAAAAGTTAGTCAGATCAAAATCAAGACTAATATTGAGAGTATTAAGCACAAGAAAGGCTCCAAGACCAACCAAAAACCAGAGGGTGGTCTCAATATAGGTGGCTAAGAGGCATTGGGGACCAAGATTACTTCTTGTCTGATAACTGTTCTCCAATTAAATCATTTCAATTTCAAATGAGCATTTACATTATTCAGTTGTGTGGCCTAAAACATAGACATTTCTTCTAAGATTTTATAACAAAGTGATTTCCAAAACAGTAACACTCAACGTACTGTGATTGTTAGTTGTCATCAGGTCGAGTCTGGCTCATGCCAACCCCACACATATACAGCAGAAGTGTGCTCCTTACAGTTTTCAAGGGTGTGGCCTTTCAGAAGCAGATTGTGAGGCCTATTGCTTCAGGCATCTCTCGGTGGGTTTGAACTACCAGCATCTCAGCTAAAACTTGAGTATTCAACTATTTGCGTCACACAGAGACTCCCAAAACTCAACGTGCATGCAACAAAAATTAATTGAGTTACAGACAAAAATGGATTAACACAAAGAATCATAGGGAAAGATTCACTTTCTTTCCAACTCTTTAAAAGACCCTACACTTAATTCAATAAATATTTTGTTCATTCAGCTAATATTTACTAAACACTAGACTAGTGAGGGGAAGGAATATGTCTGTGTGATACCTACTCTCTCAAAGTGAAGTCAGACAATAATTAAATATTCACAGTATGAAGTTAATGACTCCCTAGTACCATTGTAAAAACCCTTTACAAGTGAAAAATCCAAATAACTTTTGACTTCCCCCAAACTTAACAACTAGTAGCCTATTGTTGACTGAAGTCTTACCAATGACATACTGCACCTACAAAAAACTGCATTTTCAATACAAGATGAAGTATGTCACAAAAAGTGCAGTTTCCATGCCTGCTGATGTAGCCACAGTGACAGCTTCACAAATTTCCTTTTCTTCTCATTTACAATGTTTTTAAGGCCTGATTCATTTATCTTGAAATGTAGGCAAATGCAGCTGAAGACCTCAATGAGGTACATATCAAGCAATTCAACTTTTCCTCATAATGTCATGACTTTGCTCTGCTTCTTGAGAGCACTTCCAGCATCACTAATGACACCTCATATGGGTCCCATGGGCTTTATTCAAGGCTTATATACTGCACTAAATATGATGAAAAATATGTGAAAACTGTGAGAGACCACTTTCTACTGTGATGCACAATATACTGGAGACAAACTGCTTATGCCAAGATGCTTAGCATCACAGTGTTTTGTTTTGTTTTTAACAAATCCACATATAAGTGGACATACAAGTGGTTCAAGCTGTTATCATTTAAGGATCAACTGTAATACTTTGGAGCATTGTTGTTGTTGTTCTGTGCTGTGGAGTCAGTTCCAACTCATAGCAACCCTGTACAGGGTTTCCAAGGCTGAAAATCTTTATGGGAGCACAAAACCTCATCTTTCTCCCATGGAACAACTGGTAGTTTCAAACTGCTGCCCTTGTAGTTTGCAGCCTGATTCGTAACCACTACGCTACCAGAGCTATTTGGAACATTACTATGTGCTAAAATAACCACTAAAAATAACCTATGAACAAGATAAATACTAACATATAAAAACATTTTATACCCAGAAACCCTTATTACCTGCCACAAATCCAACTACCAGGTCCTTTCCAGTGGTAGAACGTTGGCCTTTGACCCAGACTGCTTTGAGGCTATTAAAAGTGTAAAAATAGACAAAATTGGAGCAGCAGAGACTGGAGATAACTGGAAACCACCCTCGATATGGTGCCAGGCTAGGGGAAAAACACAACAAGCAAAGTAAAGGTTATGGACAAAAGCCAATGGAAACGGAGAGAAAGTCCTAAAAAAACATCACTCACATATTCTCAAGGTTTACTTCTAGGGCAGTAAGCTCTAAATTGCACACATATCTTATATTCTGAAGGAGGCTCAAATCAATTTTTTCTAGCATAAGGACACTACAATGCAAGCTTAGCAGCTGATTTACTGTTTGCCTCCAATTGCTTTCAGCAAAATTGAAGATCATTTTTTCCAAGACTGTTAGTTAATATTAGTAAAACACTTCAAATGAGATGGAAGAGTTGGAATGTTTTCTGGAGATGTTAACTTTGTTTCCACAATGTTCAAAAACATGCCAAAAGTCTTAACTTTGGGATTAAAATATTAATGCAGAAGGTACTAAGATTTCATTTGCACTCAAAATATTTGTGTATTAGCATTTGCCTGTGAAAATGTACTCCTGTGAGACATACTGTATTCATTTTTAAAATGCATGACTATTTATACATTAGAGGTTTAATTAATTAATTTCAGCTTTCATTAATTGTACGAGTTTTCCTGCAGCTTCCTGTGAATACCTTGCTTTTGCTTAACAGAAACATGTTCTGTGTATCCTAAATACTGAGATAATAATATGGACAGCACAGGCGCTTCATGGGACTTCCCACAGATGTTTGTAGGATTCTGTATGTCCAGCTAAAACAATAGTTTGGTATTTAGTTAATACTCTTAGGTGAAACCTTTAAAACATGAGTTTATTTTCTGAAGTTAACATAATGAGTAACATTACAGAAATAAATAAGTTGCAGGACAATTTGGCTATTAATAGTCCTGGTTTGGCACTGTAGGTAAATGCGCCAGACTGCAAAGCCATCTGAACTGCAAGGTCGGTGGTTCAAGCTCACCAGCGGCTCCTTGGAAACCCTACACAGGATTCACAAAATCAATGAGCATGATGAATATCTTTTTTATACCAATATATTTTGAAGTAATTATTATGCAGGCAAAAACGCTGGATCAGATTTGAATACATTTTATTTAATCTACTCTAGATTGTTAGCTTTAACTTTAAAATATGCTGATAAATACTGTAGTTGTAGGTGGACCTCCATCTGTACTTTTGCCCTGGATCCTCCAAATGTTAGGAACTATTTCTAGTGTCCACTGCCTAGTGTCAACAGTGCAATTGTAGGGTCTGGACCCAGTGTTGGAAGCAGTAATGATTTCTGTTGTAACTAGAAACCCTGGTGAAAATGAAAAGTGACTCCAGGTTAATTCACTTTGATTCAGTTCAAACTCTTTTTGAGTATCTGCCACATGACTAGTCCTAGTTTAGGAAATAGTAACACAAAGATAAATAGATAGGTTCTTCTTATTAAATAATAATAGCTGATATTTATTGAGTATTTGGATTGTGTCAGACAAAGTGCTAAGCAATTTTCCTGCTGTATCTCAATTTTCACAACTACTTTATACGGCAGGTACTTCATTAACCTCATAGTGGAAACAAGGAAACTGACACTATGAGTTTTTTTCCCAAGGTCACACAAGTATGAGTTGAAACAGCTGGAAATGTAATATGGGGCTGTGTGACTCCACCATGTGTGTGCTGAGCCATCTGCCTCCTGGTGATACCTGTGTCTGGTGAAGAAGACAGACAGACAGACAGATAATATTATCTTTTCAATGTGTTAGGGTTATAACTCTGGGAGTCTGAAAGGGTCCCTGATGCAGCCCAGGTAGAAGTCCAAGTCCTTGAGTGGTTGAAAATGGTCAACATGCTCAGCTACTAACCTAAAGGCTGCAGGTTCAAGTCCACCCAGAGTCACCTTAGAAGAAAAGCCTGACAATCTATTTCCAAAAAATCAGTCACTGAAAGCACACGAAGCATAGTTCTACTTTGATACACATGGGTCAAAATTGACTCAGTGGCAACTGGTTTTCTAGGTGATGATCCAGGGAGATTTCTGGACTGGAGGAGCTATTGTCTCCTCTGAGTCTTGAATGATCTGGCGGACTGTTTAGTTCAAGGGGGATAAGCAGAGCACTGGACTCTGCCCACTGAGCTATATGGGAACTTCATGTGTAAAGGACCAGAAGAAGGAAATGGTGTGACTGGGGAACCATACTGTAATTAAGTGAGAGCAGTGGAAAGGAAGGCCAGGGCCAAATCACACAGTGCGCCATGGGTTTAGCTGAGGAGCCTGAACTTGATTTCGGAGTCTGTGCCTTACTCTCCAAAAATTCAGAAAAATGTGTGTGTGTGATACAGAGAAGCAGGGGAAGAAAGGTAGGAAAACAAATGGGGGAAAATGTTAGCAGGTGAATCTGGGTAAAGGAGATACTGCTATTGTTTGTATTCATTTTAGTTTTTCAGTTTTTTATAAATTTGAAATTATTTTCAACTTACAAGTTAATAACAACACTACCACAAAAAGAAGTACACAATCAATCTGTCTGGATATGCCTGTTAAGAACTAAACAACTGTTATCTTCTTTGGTTTAACCCATGTGTGTGAAGTTGATGCTGACTCCTAGTGACCCCACAGGACAGAGCAGAACTTCCCCATGGGGTTTCGAAGGCTGTAAGCTTTGTAGAAGCAGACTGTCTCATCTTTCTCCCACAGAATGACTGGTGGGTTCAAGTCCCCTATACCTGTGCCGATCTTTTGGGTAGGCAATGGTTTCAAGAAGGACTTTACAATCAAGAATCAAAATGTCCAATAACAGATCTTTAAGGAACTGAAAACAATTATATATTTACAAATTAGGCAATTATAAACTATAAAACTACTACTATGAGGATGGAGAAAGACTGGAGGTGTATTGTAGGTACATGATAACAGGACTAAGACAAAACGAGGCAATACTCACAGGCCTTCTTCTTTAATGATCTCCAGAAGTACCATGTGTGTGGTTTTGGATTTTCTTGTCTCATCAACTATAATTACAAAGAGCATACATTGCAAGTAAATTCCTTTTAGAATTATTATCTTTAGCTTCACCAAGTTTCACTGAAATAATACTTACCTCCCTTATCCTTTGAACTCCCTACTTTGCCTTAGAACTGAATGCATATATATACACACACACACAGTGTTGTTAAGCGCTATCGAGTCAGTTTTGACTCACAGCGACCCTGTATAGGGTTTCTGAGGAGCAGGTGGTGGGTTTGAACTGCTGGTCTTGTGGTTTGCATTACAGTGCACACCCATATATTCTTAATTTTAAGTTAGCATCTTATAAAGTAGAAAGAAAAGAAATGAACATCTTCCGTCTACAGAATAGGTGACAGACACTAATGCTATACAGGTTATGTGCTGATTGGTAGCAAGATTACGGTTAAAATTCAAGGTTTCAAAGTCTTAACTTTCTGCTCTGTGTCTCATGTTAAAAAACAAGAGGTCTTCGAAGGATGAGAATTACTCTAGATTTTATAGAAGGAATTTTTCCCATGGATGAATACACCCAAAATCTCACCAATATTTACATAATTTGGAAGATCTGAAACTTGGATTTCCTTTGTATGTTGGAAGGACATGACTTTGGGGGGATAAAGGGTACAATGTCATGACTTGAATACTGTCCCCCCAAAAAGTATATATTGTAAATCCTCACCCCCTATACCTGTGGAGATGTCTTGTTCTGATGTTGCAGTATCAGCACAGATTGTTAACTACAAGATTGGCAGTTTAAATCCAACAACCACCCCAGGAAACCCTATATAGGGTTGCTATGAGTTGGAACCACCATATTCATGGAGATAATCCCATTTGGGAATAATGTTTTCTTTACGATAGTAAGCAGGCCATACCAGTGTAGTTACAAACCAAGCAGAGAAGAAGCAGAGGTCGGGGAAGATACCTGTCACTTCTGAAGAACACAAGATTAAAGAGAGACAAAGACCTTCCTCGAGAGCCAACAGGGAGAGAGAGACTTCCCCTAGAGCTGTTGCCCTGAATTAGAACTTCTGGCATCCTAAACCTTAAGAAAAAAAATAAATTCCTGATTGTTAAAGCCCACCCCATGAAAGGCTGTGAACACTGCTTTGTCTAGCACAAACACAAAAAAACAGCCCATCTCAATTAGCTTTAAATTTCCTATCCCAATTGAAAAAAACACTTTAAGAACATAAAAATGTGGACATTAACTAATTCCCTAAGAACTAAAATTGCTGTCAGTTTTCCTTGTGGGATGGTAAATTAATAAAGTCCCAGTAGTAGACAATTATAACCACCCAAATTATAAACAAACTTACCCATCTTGGTGAATTCACCTCACAGAACTTACAGACACAAAGTGATATAAGAAATGACTGTTCTCTCATTGGAGTCCTGCTGTGGCGCTGTGGGTTAATGTGCTGGACTGCAAAGCCAGTTTAAATCATAGGGTTGGTGGTTCAAGCTCATCAGCCACTCCTCAGAAACCCTATACCCAGGGTCACTATGGGTTGGAACTGACTCAATGGCACTTAACAACAACATTCTCCTATCATTGTTTATAATAGCAAAAGATTAGAAAAAATTTAAAAACCTACAAGCAGGTTATGGTGCATCTACACCAGCTCTGCAGAACAAGGACGCTCCCAATGGGCCAATTGAGAAGGCATCTGAACATACTAATGAAAAACACAAGGTACAGAACAGTGCATAAAGTATGCCTTCTGTATCAAAAAGCAAATTAAGAACATATATTCTTATTTGATTGCAATTCCACAGAGAAACTAATAAAAACATTACCTGTGGGGAAGCGGAGGAGGGAAGGGGACACACAAGAAGGAGACGCTATATATTCTGTTTTTGAATCATGTTTAAGTATAACCTGCCCAAAAATATCAAAATTAATTTAAAATAATAGACATCAAAGTTTCAACACAGAAACTAATTTATTCAGAGTTAATTTTATTCTTACATCTTCACATAAGCTTTGATATAGGTTTATAATTTCAAGTTGGAAAATACTGAGAAGAAAAAACCCCTAAGAATTACAGATAGCTGCAGAGTCCTGCAAAAGTTGAGGCAAATGAGGACTCCTGCCTGGGTTAGCAGTGAGACACTGGCATTGTCCGGATTAGCCAGAACAGAGGGTATCTGACTCAATTATGTTTCCTTCTCTGACATATAAGGAGTTGCTCTAGGTCAGAATCCACTCCATGGTAATTGCAGGGGCTTATGTTGGAGAGGGGAGATGTTTCCTATAAAGTCTGTAGAGCCCGGGTGGTGCAGTGACTGAAAGTGCTTGGCGGCTATCTGAACAGTAATAATTTGAAACCACCAGCCAATCTGTGAATGCTGCGGCAGTCTGCTTTTGTAAAGATTTACTGTCTTGGAAAGCCCAGGAGGCAGTTCTACTCTGTACTATAGGGTCACTATGAACTGGAATCAACTTCATGGCAATGGGCTTTGGGGACTAAGCCCTGAATGGTGCAAACAGTTAACAGGTTTGACTGCTAAACAAATGGCTGGAGGTCCACGTTCACCCAAAGGAAACTCAGAAGAAAGGCCTGGTGACCTCCTTGTGAAAAACCAGCAACTGAAAACTCTAGAGAGCAAAATACCACTCTGACACATCTGAATCAGAACTTACTCAATGGTAACTGCTTTATTCTTGGTTTGCTTCCTAGTCTCCCTTCTTAGATCCTCTGTACAACCAAAACAGAAACAACAAAAACAAAAACAAATTTCCACTTCGTGCCTAAAAGGAAAAAGCTACATGGCTTATTAGAAAGAATTAGGAAGCCCTGACAGGTTCTCTCAGATTAGAAAATGGCAAGGCCATGACGCATCCAAGAATGAGTCTCTGTTAATCAGGAAACAGCAATGATGACTAATATTAAAGTCAGGGAAAACAGGCAACAGTGTATCTCGAAATAAACAGAATATCTTCACATGCATTTAGAATAGACAAACACGCGTGCTTTCTGACACCAAGTGAATGGGAATATGATTACTACAAAAGATAAACACTTACCCTGAAGTCGAAGTCTAGCTGTGTCCAAAGGGAAAAACACTGTCATTGCTGTCACGCTGCCCTGAAGAGTTTAAAACACCGTTAGTCATTATAATACCATGGAAAATAATGACTTACAACTTTTAAATGAATAAAAAGGACAATATTAACAATGTGTCACGTAAGATTTTCAGTGAGCAAATATACACGCTGTTTTAATCTACTGGCCTTTCTATTGCTTACACATTCCAAACCTAAACAGAAGTTATGTTATTTCCCAGAACAAGAAATCTCTTTTCTAATTTTAAAAACGAAAAAGTAGTGGGTCACTGGAAATGAGAAATTTAGGGGGTCAAAGATAGCAGGAACGTAGATTTTCATCTTTGACAAACAAAAATTATCAGAGACAAGAAAAAAAGCAAATAAACAAGTCTGGGTATTCATAACACCTTTTGACAGATTAAAAATCACAAACATATATTTAGGGATGAAATTACAAGCATAAAACCTTGAACTGGGTTTGTGGTTCTCAACCCAAACATAGGTCCACCAGAGTCTATTCTCAGGCATCAGATCACGTTTCAGGCCGCTGATCTCAGAATGGTTACAGACAATACTTTAATCATGATAACTGGGAACTAGGACAACTTGAAAGTACAAAAGTTAGCTAGGCTTCTTTTTGACTTAGGAGCTCAGGTGGTGCTGTAGGATAAGCAATGGACTGTTAACCACAAGGTCAGTAGTTCGAACCCACCAGCGGCTCTGCAGGAGAAAAATGAAGCTTTCTGCTCCCATAAAGATTTACAGCTTTAGAATCACTAACTAGGGTTGCTATGAGTGGAAATTGACTCCACGGCAGGGTTTTGGTTTTATCATATGAAGCAAGTAAGGAGCCATAGTGGCGCAGAGAGTTAAATAGGGCTGTTCACCGAAAGGTCACCAGTTCGAATGCACCTGCCGCTGCACTGGAGACAGAGGAGGCAGTCTGCTTCTGTAATGATTTACAGTTTAGGAAATCCTATGAGGTAGTTCTTCCATCCTATATGGTCGCCATGAGTCGGAATCTACTTAAGGGCAGTAGGTTGGTTTTCTGCTTGACAAGGGAGAATACTGCACTGTACTGTTGTTGTAGCTAAGTGCTGTCCAGTCGGCTCTGACTCAGTGACCCGATATGGGATTTCCAAGGAGCAGCTGGTGGGTTTGAACCTAGCAGTCAAGTGCATGTCCTATAGCCACACCAGGACTCCACTGTATTATTAGTATTCTTCAAAACTCAGATTCAATGCTACCTCTCCTCACCTATGAGTCTGCAATTGTTTGTTCCTCTATGTTACCACTGCATGGTGTTTCTCTGTCAATGGTGAAATTCGTTCCTTTATGTGGCCTTTTGCCTTATGTTTTTGGAAAAATAGCTAGAGAGATTTTCCTCCTAAACCCTGAGGAGTTATCTTTGCCCTACTTTTCTACTCTAAAGGGTTTGTTACTTTTGTCCAAGTTGAGTGGCATTTCCTGGGTAAACTGAAAAACAATTTGTGCTTTGACACATTTTGTCTGGTTCTGGACTTCAGTCTGGACTGTGATTGGTCTATTTTATGCACCTGCAAACACTGGCCAATATACTACAATAAAATCAAAACTACAGCCACTGCATCAATTTTGACTCATAGTGACCCTGTAATGGACTTCCAAGGCTTTACAGGAACAGAAAAGCCTCATCTTTCTTCCACAGAGCAACTTGTGGATTTGAACTGCTGATACTGTAATTAGCAGTCCAGTGCTTAGGTTATGCAAATGAAGTTCCTATGGTTCACCAAGCAAACTGGTCAAGGTCATGCCTTAAAATTGACAAGTTGCTTATATAGTCAACCCAACAGAGGTTTCAAGGAGCTCTGGTAGCGCAGTGGTTACAAATCGGGCTGTGAACCGCAAGGTCAGCAGTTCGAAACTACCAGCTGTTCCGTGGGAGAAAAGATGAGGCTTTCTGCTTCCGTAAAGGCTTACCGCCTCGGAAACCCTGTACAGGGTCGCTATGAGTCGGAACCGACTCCATGGCACTTAACAACAACAACAGAGGTTTCAGGAATACAGGAAAAAGAGAAAAAGCAGCGAGACAATGAGAGATTAGGAGAGGAACCTCCAAAAAGAACAGTAACACACAAGACAATGAAAGCCTGGAAGCAGCCCTGCAGCAGAATTGGTGGTGACAAAGAGAACTGCCACTAGGAATGCAGCTAAGACAGCTGACAAAGTGGCTACACTGGCAATGAACTGGGTGCCTGAGCTGTAGAGAAGCTGAAGGTAGAAGGGCTTACATGGGTGAGAAGAGACCTGCTTGGGGGAGCTGAGAAGGTCCCCACAGCCAACAGGCCTATCCTGAGGGGGTGAAAGGTGCCCTACAGGGCTGAGCTGGGTGGGGCCTACACAGCAGCCAGAAGGGTGTACTTGCTCCCCAGACGAGTGGAGCTGAAAGAGCAATCCTATGCTGTAGGAAGGATGTGCTCTCCATTTTGGGAAAGGCTTCCACACTTTAACTATATGTTTTCTCATCCTGGCTCAGGTTGTAGCCAATGGATCCTGATCCCGAGTTATACCCTGCTACCTCCTTAATAGGAGTTCTGGTGTGATACTGCCTAATGCACTGCATTGGTTTGAATCACAAGGTTGTCGGTCAAACTCATCAGGTGCTCCTCGGAAACCCTACACAGGGTCACTATGAGTAGGAACTGACTCAATAACCAGTTAACTTCCTTAATGAACCACTTAACTTTTAGTACTGGATTATCGAAACCAGAACAGATGAAGATAGGGCCATGTGAGAGATGACTGGAGACAGAAAGTATGTCATAAGCATCAGCTTAAGAGTTGATTCTGGTTCTTCATGTTGTTAAGTGCCATCAAGTCATGGCAACCTCATAGTGACGCTGCATAGGGTTTAATCCTGAGTTCTTACTCCTCAGGAGTCTAGACAGGTTCTGACCCTACTACTGCTATACAAGCAGTCATATAACTGAAATCTAACTATTCCACTGCATTGTGAGAATTCTATCTTTGCACATCATAGATTCTGAATTAAATATTTATTAAATTCACTTTACCATCACTTTTATGCTTTTTTGATGACTCTTAAATAAATCTTTTCAAATAACAATTGGAAGATATTCCATGTCTGAAAGACCACTGGACCCACAAAGCTTTATAGTCTTCAGATTCTTACTTCCAACATCCCTGCTCACTCCTCAGATATTTTCCAATAAAAACAGGGGCAAGAAAGCTATCATGTTTGCGGCATTCCTGTTCACTGTGTGAACAGATCTGTTGAGAAACTACTTTTTCCAACAACTGGGTCACCCAACCCCTCTGCCCTGACAGTTTTAAATAGACACCTTAAGATTCCTAAGCTAGAATCCCCTTCCCTCCCTTCACTTTAAAAAGTGAAGCACATCTTAGAAAAAGATGGAAAGTAGTCAGTCCAAAAAGCCCACTGGTTCTCTTGCTTCCTTAGGACAAGAATTCAAAAATGTAAAACGATGTAACCATTTCAAAACTTTATTAGAACTAGAAAGACTGGATGATGATAGTTGAAAATTAAATCTAAATGTGAGGACTAGATAAGGCTAAAGGAGGCTTCTATTTCATGAGTACAGTGGGCTAGGCAACCTGCAACAAAAAACCTAGAAATACAGATAAAATCTAACAAACCTCTTTAAATCCTTCGCTGAGCTCAAGAGAAAGTAAGGGAAATCCACTGGGGCCAGAAAGAGGGGTAGAAACCCACAGGGTTAAAATTAAGTACACTCTTTGGCTTTGGCTATCTGAGGACTTTTTTTCTGTCTAAGTGATCAAGGGGCTCTTAAAAGATTCTTTTAGTATATAGTAATGAGGTAAAACACAAAGAAAAGCATACAAATCAATGAATTTCAAAGTGCAGTCATATCAAAATACATAGCCTATACTTTCACTACCCTACAAGGTCTCCTGGCCTTTCCAAATGAGTTTTGCCTCTTTTGCACTTTATGTAAATGGCTTCTCTCTATATAGATAAGACAATGTGACTTCTTTCATTCAACACTGTATGTTTAAGAATAATGCATTTTGTTACATGTGATTAGAGTTCACTCGTTTTCATTGATTTATAGAAATTATTTTCAAATTTTGTGATCCCAGGGTCCCTTTCTCTGAAAAAGTCCTGGCAATCTATTTCCGAAGAGTCCGCTGTTGGAAATCCTGTGACATTCCAAGGGGTGCCAGGAGTGGATATTGTGTGAACAGCAAATGGCTTGGCATTTTTAGGAGTCCTTGTGCACACTCGTAAAAGTGATTTGAGGACTCTACAAAGTTTTTATTAATGTGGGTTATTATCTATCTTTGCTACATTATAATTAAAAAAAAATAATTAAATGCATTCATTTTAAATAATAAACCCATTTCATTTTAACAAATATTTTTATGAAAAAAATCACCATATTGTCTGAATTTTAAATGATGAAAAGAACAACTTTGTTTTCTATTTTTACAAACCACTGTAATGTCTGGTCTTAATAATACAAAATAATCAAGTAAATTCTCCAATCTACCATTATAAAACCATACATTGTTGTTATTAAGTGCCACCAAGTCAGTTCCAACTCACAGCTACCCTGTATAAGATTATCAGGAGTGACTGGTGGGTTTGAACCGCCGACCTTGCAGTTATCAGTCCAGTACTTACCCTACAGCACTATACCAAGATTTCCATTCTACACAGGAACAGTGTACTTATGAGCGAATGAGTGAAAAAAGAAACTGTCTTAATATTCTTATGAGTATAGTTTTGTGTGGAAAAATCTGTCCTTCAGTAAGAATTATGCATTGCCTAGAGGACACATCTCCAGGTGATTCTGTTTCTATGGGAGCTATTTTGCAATTCCCTAAATTGTAGACAACAGATAGCAAGGCAAATTAGTAATGCAAACACTGTCCTTTCCAGTAGAAGTCCAGCTGATTTCTCTCTCTTCCCCACAAGGGAAGAAATTAGCTTTGCTTCACTTACACCATTTCAACATTCCTTTATACAACACATAAATTTGTGTCTTGACATCTCCC